TTTGCCAATCAGAGAAAGAGGAAATGATACAGTTCCCTCCACTAATATTGGCACCCTTGATAAATATGACCAAAGAAGTCTGTGAAAAATTGTCTTTATTTTTATATTTTGTCCATGAAATTCACAAAAATACTCTGCTCTCATGGATATCAAACAATTGCAAACACAACACAGGTTTATGAAAAAAAATATCTTTGTTAAATATAGGTGTGCAACAATTATTGGCACCCCTATGAATTTATATGAGAAAAATATATTTGAAGTATATTCCCATTGATATTGGACATATTTCTAGTACACCTGATTAGGAAGAGAAAATTGTTCAACTATGACTTCCTGTTTTACAGGGGTATAAATATGAGGTAACATAGGCCAAACATGAGGCCAAATTCTCTTAGTCATTCATAACAATGGGTAAGACCAAGGAATATAGGTGTGATGTGTGGTAAAAGGTTGTTGAGCTTCACAAAATGAGAAGTGGCTATATGAAAATAGCACAAGCATTGAAAATGCCCATTTCAACCATCAGGATAATAATTAAGAAGTTCCAGTCAACTGGAAATGTCCTGTCGAACAAGCAGGGTATCTACAGCAGGACACCATGAAGGAAGCCACTGCTTACTAAAAAGAACATTGCTGACCACCAGAGGACAACTGGGTGAAAGTGTTGTGGTCAGATGAGACCAAAATGGAGCTCTTTGGCATCAACTCAACTCGCCGTGTTTGGAGGAGGAGGAACAAAAAATTTTTTTTGAATTACTTACAAAACTAAGGCTGTAGTGCACCTCACTGGCACCGTTAATGCACGCTCAATGCCACTGGTTCCATATGGCAAAGGTCAGCTGCAGGGTCATCATCCAGGTAACACCATTAAACGACACTCCTTTAACCCTGGAATGTCTCCTCTGGGGCGGAGCTGTGGCTCCCTGCCACCCCATGCAACTAGACTTTGGGTTAGATGTTACTGCTTCTCTCACCCAAAACTTCCAGAACCTTCCTTTGGACTCTGCCAAGGAGTCAGTCTCTCTCTCTATCTCTCACACTCACATGTTTGCAAACCAGTAAACTATTGATCAGTGAGCAGTGTCAGAACTCTTCATGAGACATTCATAACGTAGAATGTTCTGCCTGGTTCAATGCTAAAATTTCAGACTTCTGATTAAATTTACATAAAGAATTGGAAAAATCTTGGGCTCGTCCGGGATTTGAACCCGGGACCTCTCGCACCCTAAGCGAGAATCATACCCCTAGACCAACGAGCCAGTCAAAAACTATTTAAACAGTGCACACCACAATTTGCCACGTTACAATTTGCCACGTTACATTGAGGAGGTCTAAAACGCAATGTGTTCTTGGTGCCATCTAGTGGTGAGAAGTTAGAACCTGCAACTCTTTTCTAAAATAAAATAATACATATTTTTTCAATTTAAAAACACGAACAAAAAATATTTGAAAAATTTTGAAAAAACTCTACATTGAAGTCCAAATCAGAGTTCACTGAGATGTTGTTTATTATACTTTTTAATTTTATTGTTGCTGTTAACACAAAGGTGCTCATAGGATTACCGTTCATCATCCAGCCTTGCCAACATGCCAAACACAACCAGAACCATACAGGCCTTCCCAGAGACTAAGGTAGCGAGCTTCATATATAGAAGGGAAACTAGCCAGCGGTGGGTGGGGCACAGGCGTTTTAAGGTTGTCAAATGAGATTTTATTATTTTATTTATGATGGTCTGGACAGTGCGCGTGAGTGCGAGTGTGACAGGGAGTGGTTTGCGGGTTCGCCGGAGTCGCGCCGGGGCTTTTCGGTGAAACGGGTTCTTCTCGGCCGTCAGGCAGCGCCGCGTTTGTAGCCAGGGTCATGTGCGAGGTCTCTCCTTTGAGCGGAAGAGCGGCCTTTTATACTCTCCCCACGTCTGCTGGTTGGTGGAACTTTCCCGTGCCGAGGGTGTGTCTGCGGCTCCGCCCCACAGCCACGTGCTTTCCCACTGTCCAAAACATTGAAGCAGGGCTGTCTCTCAGCGCCAGTGCGGCAGGAGCGATCGATCGATCGATATCGATATATATGTGTGTGTGTGTGTGTGTGAGAGAGAGATATGAGAGAAGATATTATCAACACTCTCTCTTTCAGGGTTCATGGTGTTTGTGGCTCTGTGAAGTCATCATCCTGCTGTCTCTGTTAGTGGGAGCGTTTTATTTCTACACCAGAATCTACAGGAAACAGAGGACACCTGAGAGTAAGAAGTAAACACTTACTAGCTTGGAAAATAAACACATTACAAGTCCATATTTAGGTATTAGAGCATGTTCTAAAATGTAAAGACAGAAGAACATGAGCAGCTAGAAAATGTAATGTTTAAAGCTTCCATGGCGATGTAAATGCAACGATCACCTGAGTGTCATTTCCTTCCACAGATCAGGAAGCTCAGTAAACATGCATTAGGAACAGAAGAAGTAGTCCCAAGCAGTTGTTCTCCTCCATCCCATTAATTCATCCACCCTCATCCACCAGAAAAATATAACCATCAATAACAGATGAGGAACAGAGAAAATAAATGTAATAACTCAGTCCACATTCAAAAACTAAACCAGCCCCATGATTCCTGCAGAGTTCTTGATGAACCAAGCTTTATTTTTTAATATTCTAAAATACAGTTCTTATTTATGCACAACTCTTATTAATGATTAAGTTCATTATTCAGTTCTATTATTAAATCAGTTTTGTGACACTGGAGACTTGGCCGTATTTAGAGGATCCATATGTGGAGTCCAGAAACAGTCCAGAAATCAGTGTCCATAAAGCTTTCCATGTACAGGGGAAAGTAGAATGAATATTCAAAAGCATTATAAAGCAATAAAGAACAATTATTGTCATCCTGTGTCAGTATTTTTTTTTTTCTTACACACATCTGATTGGCCAATCTAAGTGTTTGTGTTTGTAAAGTTAAAACTGTATGGAGTATATGTATAGAGTTAGTGCTGATTTTATAATAAGGATGTTAAGGTGTCACTCACATTCACAGTTAAATCTGAGTTTCTTTGCAATATGAATTTACTGGTGTGGCAGGATAAGTGATTTAACTATCCTACTGGCTCTGCTCGGTGTATAGTTTCGGCAGATCAATAAGGTGGGAGCTACCTGATTATTTAAGGACCCTTATTTTGGTAAGCACATATGTATGTGTCTTGGTGATTCGGAGTTCCTCGCTCCCTGGCATTTCCTCCCTTTTCCATTCAGGTACCTTCAGGCTTTTCTCACAGTGTAATGAGGTGAACATCTCAAGGCTAATTTGTTTGTTTATAGTCTTAGATCAGCGCTGATGAGCATGAGCAGCTAGAAAATGTAATGTCTGAAAGTCTAAAGCTTCCATGGTGTAAATGCAGTGATCACCTGAGCATCATTTCCTTCCACAGTTCAGCAATCTCTGTAAACCTGGATTAGGAACAGAAGAAGCAGATCTCCTCTATGCAAGCAACCATCACTCTGTGTCTCATTCAAATATAACCATCAATAACAGATGGCTAACAGAGAACATAAATTTAATTCCTCAAACCAAAAAAAAAAAAAAAGCCTCATGATTCCTGTAGATTCGTTGAGGGACCGAGTGCTAATTTTTAGAGTTGTTTCTGGTATTCTCTCTTTTTTAATATTCTAAAAATAATGCAATGCTTTGTTGCAGTTGTTACAAACACACCAACAATGCTTTTGTGGGAACAATTTTAATAAAGTTTTTGAAATGTAAATGTAGGTATATGTACTGTATGTGTGAATGCGGAAAATTTTTGGAACTTGGATGGAACTTGCATCTTCCAGCAGGACAATGATCCAAAACACACATCAAAATCAACACATCACTGGTTTACTGACCACATAATCAGCGTCCTGCAATGGCCATCACAGTCCCCTGACTTGAAACCCATAGAACACCTGTGAAATTTGAAGGATCTGGAGAGATACTATATGGAGGAATGGTCTCAGATCCCTTGCCATGTATCCTCCAACTTCATCAGACATTATAGGAAACAGAAGCCGCCGGCTGTAAAGTATTGACTAAAAATGTGCCAATAATTGTTGAACACACATTTAAAAAACTTTTTTTTGGATAAACCTGTTTTGTTTGCCAATCGTTTGATATCCATGAGAGCAGAGTATGTTTGATTTATTTTTTTTTTTTTACATAAAAGCTCAAAAGTATAAGGTTAAAGACACATTTTCTGATGATGGTGCTGATATTAGTGGAGGGCACTGTAACACACAAGCCTCCCCCTGGTGATCTGGAAAAATAACTTAAATGTATGGGTAGCCTTTATCACTGAAGGTATATTAGTATTAGATGTACCTTGAGATTGTAGATTGATAACCAGTGAATTTTATGGCTTTATTTGTATTGTGCTAAACATATTCACTGTTCTGTATCTGTTACTCTGAAATAGGTACAGGGGGCCCTTTTCTACTATGTTCAAGTACTGCTTGGCTATGATGGGGGAAACATGTGACTTCATGGCACAGACACACCTCCACCGGTGTTCACAGGATTACCGCTCATCCTTCAGCCTTACCAACATGAACAACCAGAAACCTACAGGCCTTCCCAATGTCTAAGGTTGTTGTGAGCCGTTAATGAATGCTCAGTGCCACTGGTTCCATATGTCAAATGTCAGCTGCAGAGTTGTCATCCATGTAACACCGTTCAACAACACTTCTTTAACCCTGGAATGTCTCCTGGGGGCGGAGCAGTGGCATGCCACCCAGTGCAACTAGACCTTGGGTTAGATGTTACTGCTTCTCCTCACCTAAAGCTTCCAGAACCTTCCTCTGGACTCTGCCTAGTCTCTCACACATAAACACACACAGACACACACCATCAAACCAGTAAACTATGGATCAGTGATCAGTGTCAGGACTCTTTATGAGACATAGAATGTTCAGCCTGGTTGGATGCTAAATTTTGAGACTTATAGATGCAATCTATATTAAAGATTTTGAAAAAAATGGGCTCGTCCGGGATTTGAACCCAAGACCTCTTGCAACCAAAGTGAAAGTCATACCACTAGACCAGTTAAAAGATATTTAGGAGGCTCACATCACAATTTGCCACGTTACATGTCTACAGTACAGATGTTTAAGGAGTTTCTGTAAAACGCGATGTGTTCTTGGTGCCATCTAGTGGTGAGAAATAAGGAACTGCAACACCTCTGTATAAATGAATCATTTTACAGATAAAAAAAAAAAAATTAAAAACACGCTGCATTTTGTGCATTTAAACGAACAAAATATATTTGTGGGAAAACAAAAACAAATAAACGAAGAAACATACATACATATATATACACACACACGCATTCATAATAAATAGACTCACATCTATCTATCTATCTATCTATCTATCTATCTATCTATCTATCTATCTATCTATCTATCTATCTATCTATCTATCTATCTATCTATCTATCTATCTATCTATCTAGATGTATTTTTATGTATCTGCTGTCTATTAGTGGGAGCATTTTATATCTACACCAGAATCTACAGGTAACGGATAATAACCGATAGTAAGACTTTAATACTTACTAACATGGAAAATGTGCACATTACCAGAATCCATATTTAAGTATATATGTAAAAACAGAAGAACATGAGCAGCTAGAAAATGTAATGTTTAAAGCTTCCATGGTGATGTAAATGCAGTGATCACCTGAGTGTCATTTCCTTCCACAGATCAGGAAGCTCAGTAAACATGGATTAGGAACTGAAGAAGCAGTCCCAAGCAGTTTCTGTCCTCCATGTTAATAATTCATCCACCCTGAACCACCAGAAAAATATAACCATCAATAACAGATGAGGAACAGAGAAAATAAATGTAATAACTCAGTCCACATTCAAAAATTAAACCAGCCCCATGATTCCTGCAGAGTTCTTGATGAAACAAGTGCTAATTATTATTATTTTTTAAAGAGTTGTTTCTCTTAAGCTTTATTTTTTAAAATTATAATATAAAGTTCTTATTTATGCACGACTCTTAATAATGTTCATTATTCACTTCTATTATTAAAACAGTCTACTTAAGACATTATTTGATGAGTTTTGTGACACTGGAGACTTGGCCATATTTAGAGGATCCATGTGTGGAGTCCAGAAACTATCCAGAAATCAGCGTCCATAAAGCTTTCCATGTACAGGGGAAAGTAAAAACAATATACAAAAGCATTATGAAGCAATAAAGAACAAGTATTGTCATCCTCTGTCAGTATTTTTCTTTCTTACACACAACTGATTGGCCAATCTAAGTGTTTGTGTTTGTAAAGCTAAAACTGTATAGAGTATATGTATAGAGTTTGGGCTGATTGTTTAATTAGCATGTTACGGCGTCACTCACTTTCACAGTTTAAACTGAGTGTCTTTGTAATATGAATTTACTGAGAATCATTAGGGAAAAATAGAATGTGAAGTATGTAATTGTGCAGGATTAAACTGATATAATGGTAACTGGAGCCGATATAAAGCTGGTATAAAACCATGTATATTCACATACAGTATGTCTACAATACAAAATTGTAGATTTGTGTAAATAAATCCATTAAACAATGTGACCATATCACTGTGTGTCACGGTGTCACGGACCATATCACTGTGTGTACCGGTAGTGGAGACAAGCGCGGCCGAAATGAATCCAGGAAGCAAAAACACTAGGAAGTCCGTAATAACATAAAGGGATAAACCAGGGAATCGTGAAACCGAAGTCCGTAAACCAGCTAAAATCCGAGAACATAGTCAAGTGCTTGGTGACGACTGTTCGTGGTACAGAGCGTTTACTTCGCGCCGTGTCATCGCTAATGAGGGCTTATGTTACCTTGCATGTCACACAGGTGTATGCACTCAGTAATCCGGCGTGACACACTCAAATATAAAATACAGGATTAAAAACAACAACAACAACAACAACAAAAACTGATCTACTCACGTTTGGTGTTAATTTATAGCTGTCCAATACAGAGTTTTGTTATAGTGGAGACATTTTATTAAAGACAACAGTCTAAGATACTAACAGTGTGAGTAGGTCAAAACTGATATTCTTATCTTCTTAGGATATTGGTATCTTCTTAGGTTTCTGCCCAGAGATACAGAATGAACTAATCTGTCCTTGGTTACCTCAGAATCAGTATCAATTTCATATCTGGATGAATAGATAAACAGTGACATGACATCAGATACCATGGTCCTGTACCACGGTCCAGCTTTTGTGAGTGTGATGAGACCAGAATGACCTGGCTGTTGTGAGATGTTTATAGACCATGGAAGTGTGAAAAACATTTCTCAGACAAGAAAACCAGACCACAGTGCTGATGATTGCACAAGTGATAAGTCAAGCGTGCTAGCTGGTGATCACGGAAATACTTTATGTTGATAAAGAAACACATTTCACTTAGCAACAGAGAGATGTTTATTGATAAACTCTATGAATAAACTAGAAATATTTTTAACATGGTATGGTCTCACTCACTTTCACAGTTGAAACTGAGTTTTGTTTGTAATATGAATCTACTGGGAATATATTAGGAAATTAAGAAAGTAAAGTGTGTGATTATGCAGAATTCAACTGTTATTATAACAGTTGGAGCCGAAATAAAGCCTCTCACATTATATTCACATGTCACTAAATCATAATTGTAGATTTGTGTAAATAAATCCATTAAACAATGTGACCATATCACTGTGTGTACATAAACATAAATTACAGGATAAAAAATCTGATCTACTCACGTTTGTTGTTAGTTTATAGCTGTCCAATGTGAGAATTTTAACTAGCGGAGACATTTTATTAAAAAATAACAGTGTGAGTAGGTCTAAATTGATATTTTGCTGCTTTGGTTCCTGCCCAGAGATACAGAATGAACTAATCTGTCCCTGGTTACCTCAGACAGTATCAATTTCATATCTGGAACAGATGAACAGTGACATGACATCAGACACCATGGTCCAGCTTTTGTGACTGTGAGGAGACCAGAATGACCTGGCTGTCGTGAGATGTAGACCACAAAAATGTGAAAAAAAAATCAGACAAGAGAACCAGACCACAGTGGTGCTTACCGCACAAGTTATAAGTTCTCACTTACATGTCCAAGCGTGCTAGGTGGTGAACACTGAAATACTTTATTTTAAAAAAGAAACACATTTCACTCAGCAACAGAGAGATGTTTATTGATAAACTCTATGAATAAACTAGAAAAATTTTCTTTAATAGACCGGCTAAACACACCTCTACATTTATACTGTAATTACAGAAAATGCTAATTGTTTTTCTTTTTTAAAAAACATTACTTGATTGATTTTAAGGCAAAAAAAAAAAAATATATATATATATATATATATATATATATATAATTTTTTTCAGTAAATGCTTTTTTCAGTAAATTCAGTAAAAATATTACTTGATTGATTTTAAAGGCATTTACTGAAAAAAAAAAAATATATATATATATATATATATATATATATATATATATATATATAAATTTTTTTCAGTAAATGCCTTTAAAATCAATCAAGTAATGTTTTTTAAAAAAAAAAAAACATAACACCTAGAGAAAACAGGACTATCACTGGCACTAAATGGTCTAATATATTAAAAATTACATGCTGATATGCAGAATTGGTCTACTGCTTAACCCTGTGCAGGCTTTTCTTTTAACATGTAAGGAGTCTAAAGCAAGTGCAGTTTAGACAGGGCAACTTAGGCATGGGCCATCTGACAAATCTCAGCACAATTCTTAAATACAATACGCTACTACAATATGATTCTACAATATATTTATTATTATTTTTTGTCTGTTTATACAAATGGTACTTCATCTATTATAAATTTAGCATTTTAAATACTTCATATAAATCAATATTCTATAAATTTCAATAAAATAAAGTAATAAGCGAAAGGCTTACACAACATGTATGTATCTTTTAATCAAGAAAACACCTATGCTGTCTTTTCTTTCTGCCACTGTTCAGAAAAAAAACCCAACAAATATGCTAATAATCCATTGGAGAAGACACACACACACACAACCTTTTTATGTGCACTTATTCCCACTTTCTTTTCTTTATTGAAAACTGTAGCACAGTACTGAATCCAGCTCTCCTGTAATAATGGACTGTCATTTATTAGAGGATAAAGAGGTGTGTAATAATATCAGTGAGTAATAATATTAAGAATGTTGCTGATTTTTTTCTTCCTCTGCAGGTTTGCTGTTTCAGGATCCTGTTGTCTGTAGATTTAATGAGAGTAGTCAGTGTTATGTAGCTCTGGGACAACAACTGCACCTGCAACTGCCCCTGGAGGATTGGTTTGATCTAAAGATCACAGACAAGACATCTACCACTCATTTAATTTTAAAATATAGAAAACACCAAAGTAACCCACCAAAACTAAATCACCCAAGATGGCAGTTTATTAAAGATGATAAAACTATGATACTAACCAGTGCAGAGAGGAAAGACTCTCGAAGATACATTTTAGACACCTTTGATGCAAACGGGAATAATAAACTCAGTTATACTCTCCAGCTGAACACTGAAGGTAGGACCACACAACCTCTAATCACATCACACTACAACGTTATTTTGTAAATATGTTAAATTATAAACATTCATTCACACTATAATCTCACTCAAGCAAATAAATAAATAAATAAATAAAATAAAAAAATTGAAGTTAAAAAAATTACATTTATTTAGGCAAATGAGGCTTCATCTAATTAAATATGCAGAAATGTTAATACAATAATCTAGGTTTTTGATATTGTTAGAATTTAAATCTTTATTTGACTGAAAACCTCTGAAGAGAAACATTTTACAGAAAGGTTTGTTGGAGAATAATTTATTCATTTTATAATCAAGAAAATACCATGCCTTGTAAAAATATTTCATGCCATTTTTCAGGGTAAAATCTATAATAATCCTTTTTTTCTGCTGCTGCATTTTAGCTTTGATAATGTGTTTAGTACTAATGTGCTGTAGTAATTCATCCTGAGGTGTTTATCTCTAATCTGCAGCTGAGGTGTCCTCAGTGAAAA